GTGATAGCTTATGCCTATGTATAGGTATAGATATATAACACAAATGTATAGGTATAGAAATATGTTAGTAAATTAAGTAATAATATATTTATAAATAATTGCAGTAAATACAATTTTAAATTAAAGCCAACGTTCGAGCGATGACAAACAAGTATGACGCATAGTTGTTTGTCACCGCCTACAAAAGCCCCTGCGCCGACCAATCTCGATTCATTCTCGGTTGAGACGTCGGGCGGTGCGGAGCTCTCTCTCTGGCTTGATACTGTGTATAAGTGTGGACATTGTGAATTAAAAGATAAGTATAATTATTACGTTATTAAATAAATATTATTATGTATGTAAAATGTTTCTATTTGCCATTTATCATAAATAAATGAATATACAATGATTATTACATAATGGTATTATTAATACTCAATAGATAGATGTTCCTGATGAAGTAACTGTTTTGGACTATGCTTTAATATGCAATTCAACAAATATATAGTGTAGAATTGATAAATTGCTGATTTATAGGTTGTTGTCAGTTTAGGTTGCTATTACATGCGTGTGTTCGTCAAATACATGGTAGTGTGTGCAATGTTTTTTTTGTATCTTTTATGTATAATTTAAAAAAAGAATTAGCAGTTTGCACTCCTTCTTTGCACTCCTTCTTAATATTCTCTATAAGTGTGGGTAATTTCATATTCCTTCGTCCGTGCAGTTTTTGTAAAAAGCGGTTCAAAGTTGTAGCTTCACGTGTTAATGCATATGAGGGCGGATATGAGGGTACATATGAGGGCGGATATGAGGGTACATATGAGGGTGGATCTGAGGGTACATATGAGGGCGGATATGAGGGTACATATGAGGGTGGATCTGAGGGTACATATGAGGGTGGATATGAGGGCACCTGCTCCAGCTTGACGACGTCGCGGTGCACGAGGCGGGGCCGGTGCGGCGCGAACAGCAGGATGGCGGAGAGGATGAGGATGACGCTCTCGTCGGTGCGCCAGCGCGCGCAGAACGTGCTGATGAAGGCCTCGTGCGAGCGGTAGATGTCGCCCTTGGCCAGCTTCAGCACGTCCGTGCCGATGCGACCGAACTGCTCCTGGCAGTGCGGGATCTGCGGGCACCGACCTGCGCGTCACTCCACACCTCTACCCGACACTATTGGCTAACACCAAAAGGATAAGACGTCCGGTGCATTCGTATGAAGCGATGCACCGGTGTTCGAATCCCGCAGGCGAGTACCAATTTTTCTGATGGAATACGTACTCAACAAATGTTCACGATTGATTTCCACGGTGAAGGAATAACATCGTGTAATAAATTACTGGTGGTAGAGTCTCTTATGAGTCTGCGCGAGTGGGTACCACCGCCTTGTCTATTTCTGCCGTGAAGCAGTAATGCGTTTCGGTTTGAAAGGTGGGGCAGCCGTTGTAACTATACTGAGACCTTAGAACTTATATCTCAAGGTGGGTGGCGCATTTACGTTGTAAATGTCTATGGGCTCCAGTAACCACTTAACACCAGGTGGACTGTGAGCTCGTCCACCTATCTAAGCAATAAAAAATAAAAAAGACATGTTTCAGGCGACGACGGCCCTACGTTAGCCCGTTGCTTAGATCAGATACGATTAAAGCAATAAAAGATACACGATGTTTAACTATGGTTTCCTAAAGAAAAGCAAGGTGGTATAGTTTGTTCGTCACCACCCCCCGCCGCCGCTGTAGCAGCCCCCTTCTGCGCGTCTCACCTTCCACTGGTTTCTCTGGCCGTCGTAGGTCATTGTGCTCCGGAGCACCATCATCTCTATGCAGCCTCCCTTCAGTAGAGCCACCTGCGAAATGAACGACTATTCTCATAAGACGAACCTTCTCTCGACTAACAGCAATATAAATAAAAAGAAAACATTCAGTCTTTCTTGTCGATATAATCAATTATTAAAGTGTTACGTATTGTTAAAACTAAGACCTTAGAACTCATATCTCATGATAGATGGCGGCATTTAGGAGGACCCCGGTCTTCCTCTTTTCCCTCTTATTTTCTGGAGGCGCCGGAGTCCGACATAATCCGGTCTGTTTCCCCCTCGACCGGGTATTCGTAAATGAATTCCCCAGCGTAGGTCGCGGCATTTACGTTGTAGATTTATGAGCTTCGGTGACCATTTAACATCACGTGGGCCGTGAGCTCGTCCACTAATCTAAGCAGTAAAAAAAAGTCGCAGCGATCTTCGTTATTTATCTTACACTGCTTGTTGCATTAACATTGTTGCAGTATTGCAATGACGTGGCGGCGGCGAGAGTCAACCATCTCTTGACCGAGAGTGACACTAACAAATGCCGGTTACAGATAAAAATTACAATATTTTAACTTTATTTTCTAAATCTTCTAGTAAATGACAGGTTAATAGCTGTGATGTATGTGAAAATGTGATGTATATGATGTAATGTGAAAATAGGAGTCGAATTGTATTGAAACGTGGCTTAAAAACTAAGTTTGAAGACGCTTTAAGTACTACAAATTGATATTGTTACGCCGGTATGAGTAACGCCATATATCACTGAATAGCTGAAACGAATATCAAAAGAACCAGTGACATCTAGAACGCTGAAGTACACCGCCATCTATTGTCGGATAGCGGAAACACAATATTCGACTTTTGTGGAATATTCTCGATAATTCTAGGGATGTCGTATCGACTATAAAAGCGTTGCAGGGATGGCACGAAGGCAGTTAGTAATCGGAACTACTCGAAGCGAAACAGCGAAAGGATCACCTGAAGCGAATTACAAATTGTAAAGTGTTGTGTAAGTGTTCCAAGTGTTAATACAGTTTTAATTTGTACTTCGGTAGAATTTTTATCTATCCCGAACCCTTGGTCTTGGTGAGGGTAGTGGGTTGCTCCTTCCCCGCACGTTACCTGGTCCTCCTCGCACATGTTCTTGAAGGCGCTAATCTTCTTGGCGATCTTGATGAGGCGGCGTATGGCCACCGCCGTGAGGTTGACGAGCCGGATGAGGCGCGGGTCGTGCTTGCCGCCCGGCTCCTGCACACACACACGCGCAGGTCGGACACGGGAATATGCTTGCCATTTAAAGGTCACTGTGCTTAGTGAGAGTTTTTTTTAACGTTCTCGATAGCGTAAAAGTTAACTCGAATTTGTATGGAGTTGGAACGTTTGCCTACATTTGCCGCTAGGGGCGCTGTTCCAACTGCATACAAATTTAAGTTAATTTTTACGCTATCGAGAATGTTAAAAAACTCGCACTAAGCACAGTGGATGTGTTTTTTAGTTTACTTTTAATCCAAAGAAATTTTTTGCCGGAATCGTCAGATTCCCTTATCTACTGTTACCACGTTCACGGTACAGTTGGTAATAAGCGATAACCACAGTATACACAATTCAACCTGAGTGTCCAAAGCCTTGAGACATAACACGTGCTTGTTCCTCTTGACCTTGCGGTAGAAACAAGCAAGACGGTGGTACCGACCCGTGCGAGCCCGCAACGCACCTTGATAGTATAATTAATAATATTTCAGTATTTTGGAAATATTTTTTATGTGGAATTGTTTTTGTTCCTGCTTATTGCCTTGAGAGGCTACTTTATTTATTTATTTTTTATTGCCTTATAGGCAGACGAGCATACGGCCCACCTGATGTTGAGTGGTTACCGTCGCCCATGGACTTCAGTAATGCCAGGGGCAGAGCCAAGCCGTTGTCTACTGTTTAATACTCTCCACAAGCCTCGCTTGAAGAAGGACATGTCATAGCGCTCGGGAAACACCGTGGAGGGGAGCTCATTCCATAGCCAGATGGTACGTACTGAGTAAAAAAAAAGACCTCTGGAAACGCACTGTGGATGACCGCAGTGGCTCCAGGTAGTATGGATGAACTCTACTCCGGTGGCGGGCGGTGCGATGAACAATCTCGAACAATCTCGAACAATTTCTCACAGCACTTTCAGCGTCTCCTTGACGTGTGACGTGACGTGACGTGAGCTCACGGGGCTCAAACCGGGAGAGTTACTAACACTGGCCCTAGTAAAAACAGTGCTTCGCAGAATCTACCACCGGATCGGAAACGCGACCCACTGAGAAGATCCGGCGAGAAACTCAGTGGGCTGTGTCTGTGGGTTAATGGAATTGTTCAGAAAATTTGTCGACTGTCGCGTGTACTAGCTCGTAGGTCGCTTGACGGTAGGCGTGTACTCACTGCGCTGGCGGAGTCCACGAGCTGCGAGATGTCGTCGTCTATGGGCGCGTTGAGGGCCTTGTTGGCAACGATCAGCTCGTTGAGCTTGGCGCGCTCTACCTGCAACACAGCCCGCGTCACGCCCCGCCCCGGGTATCCCGTGATTGATTATAGGGGTCCCAGGGTATAAGAATGAGTGGTCGCCCAGTGGTCGAAATACGATCATAATTGATTTTGTATTATATATAATCTATATATATATATATAAATGAATAGCTGTTTGTTAGTTTCGCTAAAACTCGAGAACGGCTGGACCAATTTGACTAATTTTGGTCTTGAATTATTTGTGGAAGTCTAGAGAAAGTTTAAAAGGTAGATAAATATGAAAATGTTTGGAATTAAATAAGAATAACAATTTTGTTTTCCCTTTGATGTGTCCCCCGTCGGACGGATTCCTTTTGTTTGTTTTAAGTTTATTTTATACAAAAGTTTAGGTCTTTTATTTATCGATTGAGACACTACGAAGTCCGCCGGGTCAGCTAGTTGAATTATAAGTTTGAGCATTATTATGGTGCCATTGTCAAAGACTATAGGTACTTCTATAATCACAGATTTCGCCAAGGCTACACTATAGACAAACAATATCAATCTATTCTCAATTTTACCACAGACTTTAACAATAAACAAAAAAGTATATACGCGTCTGTGTAATGTTTTTTTTTATTGATTTAATGTATTTTTTATGCAAAATTTTAAAAAAAACATTAGCATTCTACACTCCCTCTCTATATTCTCTATTAGTGTGGGAAATTTCATACTCCTCCGTCCGCGCAATTTTCGTAAAAAGGGATACAATGTTTTTGCTTCACGTATTAATATATACATGAATAGATTAACGAAACTATAAACTTTTAAGTATTCAAGTCATGACTACTCTCATGCTTTGAAGTGACAAAGTTAGAAAGTGACAAAATTGACTTTTAAGTCGTCCAGATGATATATGTATAATAAGACAGATAGGAAGAGAGTACATATAAAGTATATACTTTAATGAGACTAATGATTACATCATTTAAAAACAAATAAGGGCCAAACATATTGAATTAAAAATATTGGTAATTAAAAATAACTTTTCATTAAAAAAATTTTTTGTGTATCAGTTAGTCTATTTTTCGACATGGTTTTTTAATCAAAGAAAATGAGTTTCAATGTCGATTACGGAGTGCCAAGACATGAACGGATTGTCGTCGGTTTATCGACGCGCATTTACGTCCTGTGACAGTTATCTAGTGTCGCAGGTGTGCCGTGACACCACTCGGCTGCGCGTGAATCACGTTACAAGGTCAACGGGCGATTAATAAAAAAAAACTCATATTTAAAAAAATGAGCGGTCGTCGCTGTTTTGTTTTAAAAGAGATAGACAGGGTTCAGTAGAGGGAGGACACAAGCTCAGGGTCACTACAACCCATACCACTGGACGTGGTTAACCAGCTACAAAAGGTCTTCCTTTCCCATCGGGGTCGACGATGACGACTTAGCTGCACTCGAATGTCCCATAAAATTAAATATCTCTTAACATTAAAGCCATAAGGTCCTGCATTCGTTATTACCANATTTACCGTCACATTTTTCGGTTACGCGTCACTTTTTTCCGTTACGCGCCATCTGTTTTGTATTCATGTCTATGATAATAAAATCCTTTTGTTTAAACTTTATCTAATTTAACTTTTTTGTATTCATGTCTATGATAATAAAATCCTTTTGTTTAAACTTTATCTAATTTAACTTTATTTAACCAATTTCTAGAAAGTTTTTTTTTGCCTATCTATGCTGATAGCCTTGAGAGGCTAGTTCAGCGTCTCCTGGAGCTCACGGGGCTCAAACCGGGAGTGTTGCTAACACTGGCCCTAGCAAGAGCCGTGTTTCGCAGAATCTACCACCGGATCGGAAACGCGACCCACTGAGAAGATCCGGCGAGAAAGTCAGCGGGGTATGTCTGTGGGTTAATGAAATAGTTCAGAAAATCTGTCGACTGTCGCGTGTACTAGCTCGTAGGTCGCTTGATGGTAGGCGTGTACTCACTGCGCTGGCGGAGTCCACGAGCTGCGAGATGTCGTCGTCTATGGGTGCGTTGAGGGCCTTGTTGGCAACGATCAGTTCGTTGAGCTTGGCGCGCTCTACCTGCAACACAGCCCGCGTCACGACCCGACCCGGGTATATAGGGGTCCCAGGGTATAAGAACGAGTGGTCGCCCAGTGGTCTAAATACGACCATCATTGATTTTATCTATACTAATATATAAATCTACAGTGGTTTTTACGGATGTTCCGTTATAACTACTGGTCCATGCCTCCGATTGACTTGAAACTTGGTATCCATGTAAAAAATGCATGTACTTAATGGATAGGCTAATATTTATATGAGTGTTGAACTCCCTACACTAGTTGCGGGGGCATTAATGATGAGAACCTTTGTGGGGGTGAGAAATAATAATATTAATTTTAAATGCCCAGCAAAGCGGACGAGTACAGCTAGTATTATATAATAATTGAAGTATAAGTTTGAGCATTATTATGGTTCTATTGTCAAAGACTATACTTCTATAATCACAGATTTCGCCAAGGCTACACTATAGACAAACAATATCAATCTATTCTCAATTTGACTACAGACTTTAACAATAACCAAAAAAGTATATACGCATGTGTGTATCAAATACACCACGTACTTGATACACACAGATGTGTGTAATGTTTTTTTATTAATTTAATGTATTTTTTATGCAAAATTTAAAAAAGCATTAGCATTCTGTACTCTCTATATTTTATATTCTCTATAAGTGTGGAAAATTTCATACTCCTCCGTCCGCGTAATTTTCGTAAAAAAGGGTACAAAGTTTTTGCTTCACGTATTAATATATAAATTAATATCTATTCATTTACATATTTATTTAAGGAGACTATAAACTCTTAAGTGCTCAAGTCATGATTACTCTCATGCTTTGAGTTAAAAAGTGACAAAATTGACTTTTAAGTCGTCCACATGGTATGTGTAATAAGACAGGTAGGAAGAGAGTACTATATACTTTAATGAGGCAAACGATTAGGTAATTTAAAGATCAATAAGGGCCAAACATATTTAATTAAAAATATTGGTAATTAAAAATAATTTTCACTAAAAATTATTTTTCTGCATCAGTTAGTCTATTTCTCGACATGGTTTTTTAATCAAATCTGACGATTACGGAGTGCGAAGAGGCGAACGGATTGTCGTCGGTTTATCGACGCGTAGTTACGTCCTGTGACAGTTATCTAGTGTCGCAGGTGTGCCGTGACACCACTCGGCTGCGCGTGAATCACGTTACAAGGTCAACGGGCGATTAATAAAAAAAAACTCATATTTAAAAAAATGAGCGGTCGTCGCTGTTTTGTTTTAAAAGAGATAGACAGGGTTCAGTAGAGGGAGGACACAAGCTCAGGGTCACTAAAACCCATACCACTGGACGTGGTTAGCCAGCTACAAAAGGTCTTCCTTTCCCATCGGGGTCGACGATGACGACTTAGCTACAATCGAATGTCCCATAAAATTAAATATCTCTTCACATTAAAGCCATAAGGTCCTGTATTCGTTATTACCAAATGTATTAGATGTCTAGGCGAAAGACCCTAAGAGAATGAAACGTCGAGCGTGAAATTGTATTCCATTGTGAGCGCCATTAGGTTCAGGTTCGATTATCAGCTGTAGGGCTGATGCAATGGCGTGTACCTCATTGAGTTCCCGGGATGAGCCGCTGCACGAGTTCACTGAAGCGTACGATTCGAATTCTAATTTAATTGCTTCACACAATATCGACTCCATTGAGTTTGGTTCTATCCTGTTGAAAATGATCTTAATAAAATATTTGTACATAACAATGAAGTCGTCGTGGCCTAAAGGATAAGACGTCCGGTGCATTCGTAGGTAGCGATGCACAAAAAAAACATTAATCTTAAAATAATTGGACTAGAAAATAAAAATAATACGCAGGTAATTAAGCCATAGCATAATACCAGGTGGGCTGTGAGCTCGTATACCGATCTAAGCAATAAAAAAAAAAACAGTCAAGAGGAGTATTGTTGTTGAATATTGTATTATTATTGTTTTCGTTATCAAAGCAAAACCATTACGTTTAAAGTACAAAATCCTTGACGGAATAATTCACATTTATATTATCCACATGATTTTAACATAGAAACACATTTGCTTTATCAGTAACAAAAGATTTGAATTATTGATTGTTATTATTTTTATCTCAAAGATTGATAAATTACATTTTTTTTATTATTTACTTCATAGTTTATCTAACAAATAAGAATTCACGTCATCGATTTCTGCAGATATACATAATATATCTTATAAAACTTTTACAAGAAGGCATAATGAGTAGTGGCTAATATAATTATAATAATCTATATAATCTTTATAATAATCTAGTCAGAAAAGTTGAAAACCTTGACATATTTGGTGATTCCCTTCCAATATTCAAGAACAAAATTATAAAAAGTTGTTGTTGAACTTCAGCCTCAGCCTTGGTCTGAGTACTCGGGTATTACTGTCCTTGTTGTCTTTCTTTTGTTTTTAATTTATTATTATTATTAATAGTATTGTTAAATCTCTATTGATATATTAATGAAATGCATGCTGTGATTGCCTCTTATTAGAGTTGCAGTTATCAATTGCTCTATACATGTCAATGTTATTTTATGTCTTACTGTAAACCCTGTCGGTAATCCTTAAATAAATAAATAAATAAATAAATTTAGTTTTTTTTAACATTAGTTTATTTACTTAAAGGCATAATATTACCTTTCAACATCTTGAAGGATATCCCTTGCTTTGTTCACATCAGGGTCGGTACTGGTGGAAGGTATCTCTTCACAGACATGTTGTTGTTTCGTCTCTTTAAATGCGGTTGCTGTGTCTCCATTCGTTAAGATTTGTCTGGAATGGATTAAGTTATTTTGAGAAATTTCCATCTATTTCATGTTACTGGACTTCTACTTTTTTAAATTTTAAATATTGCCATATTAGGCAGATTAGCGTACGGTCCACCCGATGGTGAGTGGTTACCGTCGCCCATGGACTTCGGCAATGGCAGGGGCAGAGCCCAACGGTTGCCTACCGTTAAGTATACTCCACAAGCCTCGTTTGAAGAAGGACATCTCATAGCGTTCAGGACACACCGTGGAGCGGAGCTTATTCCAAGGCCGGATGGAACTTAATGCTGAAGTTGCTAATGTTGTGCTAATGTAATGCTTAATGTTGAATGCCGGCTCACGGGACGTCATTCTATGACCATTCCTTTACGGTTGAAGCAGTCCGTTTATGGAATGCACTACCCTTAAGCATCAAACAATCGTCCTCGCCGGAAATTTTCACATTCAGATTAAAATCGCACTACCTTGCACAATAATATGGCTCCTACAATTATAACTGACCAAGTTGCTACTTATTTTGTATTTACTTGCATATTTTTAGTAGTTATTTGTATTTAATCGTATGTAAGTTTATCTTACATTGTATTTATTTTTCACATGTATATATAAGTTTTTTATGTAAGTTTATTAAGATATAGCACCGTCCAGTTCGCTTATTCCTCTCCCTGCAAGGTTGCCTGGAAGAGATCGCTTTCAGCGATAAGGCCGCCAATTTATGTCACCTACTATTATTTATTTTATTTGCTCACTCTGTATATATTATGGTGTTAAATAAAGTGTTATTATTATTATTATTACGTGGCAAAAAAGATCTTTGAAGACGCACTGTGGGTGAATAGTTTTTATTAGGTAGGATTGTGCTAGGTTGTCAATAGATCGCGGGTACCGCACCGTCTTGTTTGAGGAGGCGTGCGTGCTCGCCGGGATGCCTCCCTAGGACCTGGAAGCGGAGGGGTTCGCTGCGGGTTACGCGTGGCGATTCGATCTCCGTCTCAGGGGGGAGCTGCGTCCCGGTGCGGCGGTAATTCGAGCGCAGAGGCTTCAATCTCGGCGTGCCTTGCTCGAAGCGTGGTCTTGCCGCCTGGCGGACCCCGCATACGGGCGACGGATCGTCGAGGCGATCTGTCCGGTCCACTCGGACTCGGTGAATCGCGACCGAGGACGTCTGACCTTCCAAGTAGCCCAGATGCTCACGGGACACGGCTGTTTCGGTCGCTACCTGCACCTCGGCCCGGAGAGAGCCGACACCCAATTGCCACCACTGCCGTGGCTGCAACCAGGCAACGGCGGAGCGCACGCTCGCTCATTGCCCCGCTTTCGCGGAGCAGCGCCGTGTCCTCGTTGTAAAAACAGGATCAGACTTATCGATGACGTGTCCTGGTAGGCGATACTCGACGTCTGCGAGTCCATCATCTCGCGGAGGGAGACGGTGGAACGGGAGAGGGAAAGCTCTTTTTTCCTCTCGGAGCCGTGCCGCTGCCGCCGAGCGGGGGTCGGAGGAGGGCGTCCGTCCAGCTCCGGCCCCTGTGACGAGGAAGTCTCCTCCCGGTGATGGTCACGGGGCGACCTGAGGGGGTTGAGGCTGCGCCGCACGCTACCGTCAATGTAGCGCACTGGCACAATAAAGATGGGACAATGCATCGGCGGCTGCGGACTGCGATGCGGTCCGCGTCGTCGTTGTTATCGTCGTCGAACATACTATGGAAGAGCAACGCCGTCGGCGGTGTATCGAGTTCCGACCGACCGGCAGGCTGGTTCTGACCCAGCGGGGTATCCCGGAACATCAGCGGCACCGCCCGAGCGGCCTGGTAGGGCGCCGTACCACGGAGACCGACGTCGTTTGTTGTCGACTATCGCTTCGACAATCCGTCGGTCGGGCGTCCTCGGGGTGGCGCCGCGGGTCTGGTTGTAGTGTTGACCGCGGGAACCTCTTTACTCTGACCGAGTTCTGACCTCGGGCGGAGATCGGACGTCGGGTGTAAGAGTGCAGTCGTTTAGTGTGGTAGGGCCCTAAAACGTCCTTGGGCCCGCGGTCTGCTCCGAAAATCTGCAGATCGTCAAGTCCCACATACCCCGCGCGCCCCTTAGGCGCGGGGACCTGGTAGGAGGTTCGGCCACTGGCCCGAAAAAAAAAGGGTTCTTAATAGAGCCATAGTGTTATAGACAGTGCAAGAAAATTGCCTACTTGAGACAATTAAAGTCTATTAGATGAAACTCATGTGGGCACATTGGGAGGTCACATGCCGTATGGGAATCTAAGCTTATTAAAAGTAATTTATAAAAATATGTGCTTATTTGTATCTGTTGCAAAGCAATTGAGTGCAGCTGAGCCTACAACATGCCTCAGAGAGGGTGGTGTCAATAAAGTTGTAAGTACTCTCAATGTTATATTGGACTCCTGTAACACAATACCACTGAGGAGAGTGGGCTTGTCTAGTGTTTTGTTTGTTGTAACTTTTTCACAGAGAGGTATAGAAATGCAAAAACTAGGTCGTTTTTGAAGTGGAATTGGTTATCAGAAATTTGAGGGTTTTCATGATAAGATAAGTGTGAATCGTAATTGTATGTCGATTTGTTATTTTATTGCCGACTTCAGCTGATCAAATAGACAATCCATATTGGTGGTGGTATGAACATGGCGATGGTTATTGAAGAGAATTGTCTTATTGAAGGGAAGATTAGGTTCACTTGGCAACTTGTCTTGTGTAAATTACTCAGCATAACGATGCTGCAACCTTGAACTTAATGAAGTCACAGGCTCCATAGCTTTGGAGTTACACTTCAAATAGAAAAACGAGACTGATTCACAGAAACAATAAGTTACAGACAGTGGCTTAAGCCTTGCAGGTCACAATGTGATCATATATAATTTATTTCAAATTTTGTTTTTCAATTTGTATGCAAGTTAAATGATGAAATGATTGGAAAAATTGCAATTGTCAAGGATTATAACACATTGTCTCCACATAAACGTGGGTAGGATGAGTATTATAACTGTCACAATGCTTTTTTTGATGTAGATGGACATTTGAGTAGGTCTACCTGGTGACAGCAATACTCACAAAACGTAACAAGATATATGATGGTGCCATTGATCCTTAGCTGCTATCTTAATATACCTTATTAATTTAAAACTTTCATAGATCCATTTTTAATTAATTTTACTGACAGATTAAATATGTCTATCTGCTTGTGACTATCCTTGGTAATGTTGGCTTTGAACATGCATCCTCTCATGAGGGGCAGCATTGTGCATCATAAATGGTTTTTCAAAGTTTCAAGTCATCATGACAAGCTACCTCGCAGGGGCATGACAATATGTAGCAATTTCACAAAATAATATTGTGGTGTTATCAGAGATTGGAGTTTTCAAAGAAATAAAATTCCTCAAGATTACATTTTTTGTGAGGCGAAAAATTTTTAGTCAATAAATTTCAAAATCAATATATTATCTGCTTATCTAGTCACTTCTTTTGGAAAAAGTGAATCATACAACACGACAAAATTTAACAAAATTAGTCTTTCTAGTTAGTAATTACTTTTTGGTTAACTTTATTATTATACTTTGGTAGTTATTTTTTGGTTAACTTTTCATTAATGGAATTTTATGTTTTCTATTGCTTTTGCAGGTAGATGAACATACACCCCATCTGACGGTAAGGGGTTACTATCACTCATGGACGTCAGCAATGCCAGGGGCAGAGGAATACTGCATTACAAATGAGATTTTAAGTTGAATTAAAATACCTTATACTATTTTGTTTGGGGGGCTCCATATATGTGTTACTCTCAAGATTATCATACATTTTGTATGAATCCATCATCCTTTGTTCGTACAATGCTTGATCCATTATCTGCTTCTCATCAATAGGGAAGACCTTCATATTGTATTCAGGTTGAACTGGCGGTATTGGAGCATAATTGTACATGGGAGGGGATTGTATTGATGATTCCATGTCATTGTTGAGTGGAGATTGGACTGTGCTGCTTGGACTGCATGTAGTGCTGTTTAAGACATCATATTGTATTGATTCTGGTGGATAATTACTTGTCAAGTTCTCATCATCTTTTTTCATACTCTTTGAACTAGAAACAGCTTCATCACAATCGCTCTTTCTTTTTCTGGCTCGGTTCTCTTCTATTTTTCGCCTTTTTTCTGCTTTGTCCTCCTCCGACATTATAAACTCTTTCACCATACCGACGGCAAAGCATTTCTCTAAACGACACTTCTGGCAGAATCTTCTTGTGACCACGGTTATAACACAATTGTTCGTAAACGGACATTTGAATTCTTTACTAGCCAATGCATTTCGTCGGAAAAACGCTTTGCAACTCTCACACGAAATGGCATTAAAATTGTAGCCTAACGCTTTATCACCGCACACTAAACATATTTTTTGCAAATTAAGTGGTAGTTCCTTTTTCTGGCTCACGTTTTCTGTTTTATTTTCACCAATATTGTCCATTTTAACTGATAAACACTATGATTGTTTTAACAAACATTGACTTTTGACCTCCACTTCAATACTTTCCCGTTTCTCATAATTCTCGGACTTTCTGGGACTTCATTATGAAAATGCGATATTAATTTATCGAAATGGCGTTATAGAATTATAAAGATAATACTTAAACTCTTTCTAATAAAGTTTAGATAAATTGGTACTGATTAGGTTACCATACCTAATTATTATCGGATGACTAATGTCACTTGTTGTCAAACAAGAATACGACTGTTAAATGTTAATGTCAGTGAAATAAAACGTCAACTTCATGTATTATTATTTTTTCAACTAAAAAGGCAACAGTATCACATCATACCGCCTAATCTTTTGAATTTTGTATTTTGAAGTCGTCGTGGTCTAAAAGATAAGACGTCCAGTGTATTCGTGTTGAGCGATGCACCAGTGTTCGTATATATATACGTACTTAACAAATGCTCACGATTGACTTCCACGGTGAAGGAAAACATCGTGTAATAAAAATCAAACCCGCGAAATTATAATTTGCGTAATGACTGGTGGTAAAATCTCTTGTGAGTCCGCGCGAGTACGTACCACCACCCTGCCTATTTCCACCGTGAAGCGGTAATGCGTTTCGGCTTGAAGGGTGGGGCGGCTGTTGTAACTATACTGAGCCTTAGAACTTTAGATCTCAATGTGGGTGGTGGTATTTACGTTGTAGATGTCTATGGGCTCCAGTAACCACTTAACACCAGGTGGGCTGTACGCTCGTCCACCCATGCAATAAAAAAAAACTATTTTTTTTTAATATAGAACAAAGTGAAATGAAGTTGATTAATTTGAAACATTAATCACTTGGCATGAAATTCAATGAAATGAGATGGATGATATGTGATGCAATAGAATCTTAGATAAATAGATTACGTAATTACAAACCACCGTTATTACACATATAAACCTGAAGAAACACTAAAAATAAAACAATTCTGACAGCTTCGCTACTCGTGTTCCCGCCAAAAAGTCCGACAACTTCTATGTTCTTCTTCTATTCCAGTAGGTATGGCATTAGGCTTGTTGCGATTGAGTTTTTGCCAGTGTCGAGTTTATTAAAATTGTCAATTATCCACGTTTATTAATATTATTTACAATGAAGAAGTAAAGGTGATAGCAAAAACTAAAGATACTAAATGTACCGCTTAGATAGCACAGATTTCAACGTTAGCATCGAAATAATATTCATCCATTTGCATCAAATTGGCAAGATCATAATTATAATAAAACGGGTGCTGCACGAACTAAGCGATTGCTACCGTGATGAATGCGTTATTGTTTCCTGTATTGCTTAACAGCAAAGAAACGAAAGGATTTTGAATCGCATTATCATTTGCGATAAAAAACCGATTCTTTTTGATAATCGAAAGCAGCCATCATCATCATGGGGTTTAACACACAGTTTTTTTATTGCTTATGTTGGTGGACGAGCTCACAGCCCAGCTGGTGTTAAGTGGTTACCGGAGCCCATAGACATCTACAACGTAAATGCCGCCACCCGCCTTGAGATATGAGTTCTATGGTCTTAGTATAGTAGTCATTGTCCCTAATTAAAACTTATCCTTAAAAAGTCGTGGTTACTGTTTGGTGGTCCAGTGACGGTATCCAGAATTACTGTCGATCTGTACTGTGAGTGAACTGAACACAATAATGAAGAACCTGGCGAGTTTCCGGTCAACCTTGGTTAGCCGCCCATCCTTGCTGCTTGGGTTGGGTGTTGCATTATTTATCGTACTGACCATACCTCGCGGCAACGTTCTTGTCTTTTTTTCAAAATTTGGACAACTTCTGAGCAGGGTAAATTTAAAGACTCGAGCGAGAGGCAGTACAGAATTCCTTTGAAGAGTATGTTGACTCCCATACATTGCAGAGATGTGTGAATACCTTGGGTACATATTTTCATTGATAGAAATTAAAATATATATATAAAAAAATGACTAGCATTCTGTATAGCAAGCAGCAATTTCGTAGGTAAATATCTAATCTATGTATAATAACATGACATATCAAGTAAAAGTGGTTAATTGCTATTGATCGCCCCATTTAGCTTCACTTATAGTTTCGTCTCTTCCTGTTAATACTCTACAGTGTGCCATGACCACTACGCCACAACGTAGCCTTCTTCAAATGAAGCTTAAAAAGCGCACTAATCGATTGGTAACGGTACAGCTAGGTATGTCTCCGATGGTTTTCGTGAGCATCGTTGATCATTCCTTATCGTCCACTTCTAAAAGTATAGAGGATGCTCATATACAAATGTAAATCGAATTATGTTACAATTAAGTATTAATTTAAAGAATAATAAAATATATTTGAAATATTAAATATAAAATTAAAATGAAAATTAAATATAAAATTAGGTAGGCAGCGGCTTGGCTCTGTCCTTGGCATTTCTGAAGTCCATGGTCGACGGTAACCACTCACCATCAGGTGGGCCTGCTGGACTGCTGGGCCTCATGCACGACTGCCTACAAGGACAATAAAAAATAAAAAAAAACTTTTTCGCACAATATTTTTCCGTATATCGTCATGATCGTCCACTGTGTATTTATCTACAGGGCATCCACAGGATTAACATTACGCATCATAGTAATTTTTTGGATAGAGTATATATAATCTGCGATCGCTCGAAATTTCAATTGTGTATAACTGACTCAAATGGCGGAAAAATAGCAGATTCAATCTGGATTAGTCTATTATCTATATCACATTAATCGATATTTAAAAGAAAATAAACACATTTGAAGGTGCCCGTCGGCAAAAAGAATGTGCACAAATGCACTTATGTAACACAATTTCCAGGAATTAAACGTGACGTAAATAATTAAACATTATTTGTTCGTGCTGTCAACATAAATAAAAGCAAACTTCGAATATTTACATTTACGGGAATTTGCAGTCAGCAATTTTCATGTTGCAGCGCGTTGCAGAAAAATAGATATTATAGAAAGCGCTCCAGTCATTAGTTCTAAATGCTCACAGGGCGCATTGTGTATTCGCATGAGTATGTATGTTATAGCACTACGTTCCCTATTTATATAGATTAAGACTGACACTTGAGACAAACTCAATGTAGTCCCAGTCGTTCTTGTTGTGGGCTCTATGTGCTGTAGTTACTACTTTATACAAGACGGGCCATGAGCTTGACCGGTCACCGTCCTCGTCGAACCCGTCGCTTGCGACGAAGGGCTCGACGAGCGAACTAACCCATAGACACAGCCCACTGAGTTTCTCGCCGGATCTTCTCAGTGGGTCGCGTTTCCTATCCGGTGGTAGATTCTGCGAAGCACTGCTCTTGCTAGGGTCAGTGTTAGCATCACTCCGGTTTGAGCCCCGTGAGCTCACCTACTAGTTAAGGTTACGCTGAAATAGGCTCTCAAGGCTATCAGCTTAGGTAGGGGAGAAAAAGGGCACATTGTATATTCGCACGAGTATGTATGTGGTAGCACTACGTTCCCTATTTTTATATCGTTCTGGTTGTGGGCTTTAAGTGCTGTAGTTACTGCTTTATACAAGACGGGCCATTAGCTTGACTGCCCATATAATGAGCCAATCTTGGTTATATAGAACAATAAAATTATAAAATACAATTTTTTATTTATTTAAAATACCACAATGTTCAATAATATAATGTGGCAAAATAATGTAAATTAACACAATCCATGAAAAATGCCTTATAAATTAGGCCGCGTCTGACGCATAGTGTCCGCCTCGGGAGATTCAAAAGAAGGACAAAAAGAAGATAGAATTTGGTTTCATAATTACTTATTAATGAGCTAGTATCAACGTCTATTCACGTGACTATATCACGTCAGCTTGCTAGCATTATTTTTTTCAACAATCACATCTGTGGTTCAATTAATTTCATCAGACATTTTGATTTTTAACATTAAATATATAAGTAACAGCCACATAATAATTTCCGTATTACAAACAATAAAAGTAAATCAAACAAAGGCATCGTTTCACTTCAATTCTATAAAATGTACATCAATCAAGTGCTCTTATATAATTTCCTGAGTTTAGTGTTCCTGTCTACCGCTGATATGTACAGCGTGAAGATAGACACGGAGCAACACGTAAACGTAGTTGACCCTAGGTTTTTGAGTTTCACAGTTGACCCCAAATATTTGTTTTCTACCAGCGAAAAATATAAAAGGTAAGTGATTTTTTTTAAATAGTACGTAAAATAGGGTGCAGACGGATGCCGATATACCGATACAGATTTGTCATACTGCATGGACTATGAAAACGTCAGGAGTAAAACCAAATCGCTGCGGGATGCCTCGAATATTTGGAGACAAAAAAAATGATTGCATAGTGAATACTACCACGCTCTCCGCCATTTTGAGAGTTGTCATGTAAGTCTCAAATATATTAAGTGTATTATAATCTATGATGTAAGTCTCAATCACATTGACGTATTAGCTGTTTAACTACAAGGTGGAACGCATCGGCACTGTACTGTGTGCTTAGTGCGAATTTTTTAACGTCCACGATAGCGTAAAAGTTAACCCAATTTTGTATGCAGTTGGAACAGCGCCTCTAATGGCAAACGTAAGCAAACGATCCCATTCCATATAAATATGAGCTAACTTTTACGCTATCGAAAACGTTAAAAAACTCGCACTAAGCAGACAGATGTATCCGGGACATCGCCCCCTTGCTACAATCTCCTGGATATATTCTTAAGCCCATTTCTATTCCAAGGTCTACGGCGGTGTCCTTTAAGACTAAAACTTGTCACACCTCTGCTCACTTTGTGTAAAAAAAAATTTTCAAGACAATAGGAATGTACTTTTTAGTATAGTATTATAAGTTACTAGCTGTACTCGCCCGCTTCGCTGGGCATTTAAAATTAACATTATTATTTCTCACCCCCTCAAAGATTCTCATCATTAACGCCCCTGCAACTGGTGTAGGGAGTCTAACACTCATATAAATATTAGAATATCCATTAAGTACATGTATTTTCTACATGCATACCAAATTTCAAGTCAATCGGATGCTTGGTTCAGTAGGAACATACGTAAAAGCCACTGTAGGTTTATATATTTGTATAGATGAATGGAATTACCGCACTAGAATGTGTTGTTTTATTATGTCACCTCCAATAATAATTCATTAACAGGAAAGAATGCCTTTGCATGGCCGCGTCATTAGCGCCGGCATATCTTCGCATAGCTGGCCCTTCCACTTCACAAATGGTGTTCCACAACGCGACCATCGCGATCGCTGACGACGAAGAGCCCAGCGATTTGGCCGTTCGCTACCGGCAATGGAGAAAGTTCGTGCAGTGGGCCAAATCAACAGGTTTACCTATAGAGATCTATATATTAATATGTGAAACAAATAAAAACTTCAGAGGTGTCAAGGGACACCCGGATGGAACGAAGTTCCTTTCGATTAATTAGTGAAGGAATTGTAATATTTTTTTTAAGTTATAATAATAAATTACGGCACTATGAAGAAAAAAAAAACAATACTATGAACTAAATTACTATTGTTGAAACGCTATCTCGAGAAACTGTACTCATTACGCGGACCAATCGGATACGAGCAATGTCACGAGATAAGCGCCTACACGTTGATTGGTCAGAATGACGGATCTAAAAAGTGTCGTGACAATTTTTCGTAAGAATTCTTTCCGTCTAGCCCCCTTTCACAACGCGCGATAAGGAACTTCGTTCCAAAACTTTGTACCCCTTTTAACGAAAATTACGCGGACGGAGGAGCATGAAATTTCCCACACTTATAGAGAATATACAGGAGAAGTGCAGAATGTTAATATTTTCTTAAATTATGCATAAAAAAAACATTAAATCAATAAAAAAATATTACACACACACGACGCATGCATAATATTTGTTTATTGTCAAACTTTCGTTGTTCCTTAAAGTCTGTGGTCAAATTAACAATAGATTAATACTGTTTGTCTTTATTAATATTTGTCTAAAGTGTAGTCTTGGTGAAATCTCGAAGTATAATAATAGTCTTTGACAATAGAATCTTAATAATGTACAAACTTATAATTTCAATTAATTATAGTCGAATTTCGATTACCAAGGGACCACTAGTATTTGTTAATAGAGATATATGGTATCTTGCAATAATTTTGTTATATATCACTAGTGAGCTGTGAATTTGCTCACAGTATACCTGCTGTTAAGAGATTGAGGACCCCATAGACGCGAAGAAATTAAATGCCGCCACCCACTTTAAGATTTGCGGTGGCAGTATCGGTTGTATTGCACAATATCAGTTCTACCAGTGCAGTCGTAACGCATTTACGGTTGTAGTGTAGATACCAGTATGGGCTAAAATGGGATGTATTTCGTATTTTAGCTACAGTAGAAATTTCCCGTTGAAAGAAAGAAAGAAAGAAAATCTTTATTCGCCAGAAATATAGTTTACAAGATTTAGGACATAGCTTCATATATTTCGCCTGTTTAGGCATGCGAAAATTTAATTTATTTTTATATTAATTATAACACAAAATTTACTAAATCTATCTATTTTTACATTCTATCACTTCTTATTCTAATATTTTATTATGTACAATACTTATCATTTAAAAATTCTTGCACACTATAATAAACCTTGTCTATTAGCCATAAATATAATTTTCTTTTAAATTGAGTTAGTGGAAGATCCACTAAGAAGTCGATTTCCGTCGCGACGACTCGATTCTGTGAAAAAACTCTTCGTTTTAATTAGGATCACCATTACGTTGAAATAAAGAATATATTTTTTCTAGGTTTTGATCTGATTTTCGCCTTGAACAACGAGGAACGGACAGCTACTGGTTTGTGGGACCCTAATACGGCTTTGAACATCCTTACTGTAGCCGAAAAAGCCAATATTGGCGAAATTTTTTGGCAGCTTGGATATGGTAAGTAAATAAACTGTTTTAGCTAGATAAGTAGATTTATTACATGTTTTCTTATTCTTTTACTTTTAGACAGTTATGAGTTAATTACTTGCGTATTATTTTCATTTTCAAGTCCAATTATTTTAAGATTAATTTTTGATCACGGTAGATTGCAATGTTCTTTAAAAATTGGTTAAAATCATAAAATGTTTTGGTCATTGCAAAAATAACGTGTCAGCTTGCCTCTCTAGTAAGGCAAGAGGATTGAGGTTTTTAATTCAAAGTTTATTTATTTATCGCTTAGACGGGTAGAAGAGTTCACAGCCCACCTGGTATTAAGTGGTTACTGGAGCCCATAGACATATACAAAGTAAATGCGCCACCCACCTTGAGATATAAGTTCTAAGGTCTCAAGTATAGTTACAACGGCTGCCCAACCCTTCAAATCGAAACGCATTACTGCTTCACGGCAGAAATACGCAGAGTGGTGGTACCTACCTGCGCGGACTCACAAGAGGTCCTACCACCATTAAACCAGTGTGGTGCTATTCACTGTGTGATATTCCACCAGGTCCAGTACGTATTTCACTTCGACATATTAGTTTATCTGCCGATTTTTTTATGCTTACGGAAGACTGACACCGCTGCGTATTGTGTCCATAAAGAAATCTGCCCAAAATAAAGTTGTTTACTTGATATCGCGGAATTACTAAAGTAAATATTTTACAGAATGCACAAACCAATCTATTGAGGAATACCTCAACGACTTGGAAACGTTACGGGTGATCGTCGAGACCTTTCCTCCAGGAAGGACGGAGATGTGGAAGGTGGTGGCTGGTGACATCAGCGATTGCCTGCACGGAGACTCCAAAAGTGATTTCAGAGATTACATAGTACTCTCCAGTGACATGATGGACGCAATTATGTTAAATGGGTCAGTTTTTTATTTATCCAATTCAAGTGAGCTAGTAGTGCCCGCGGCCTTATACTTACTTTGACCTTAGATTTGAAGTTGGACGTGTAAATGTACGCCATGCTAACAGTTTTATTATTCACTAGCTGACTCGGCAGACTTCGTAGTGCCTCAATCGATAAATAAAAGACATAAGCTTTTGTATAAAATAAACTTAAAACAAACCAAAGGAATCGGTCCGACGGGGGAGACATCAAAGGAAAAACAAAATTGTTATTTTTATTAAATTCCGAGCAAATGCTCGGAATTCAATAAAATATTCAATAAAATATTCAATAAAATAAATAGATATTTATCTACCTTTTAAACCTTCTCTGGATTTCCACAAATAATTCAAGACCAAAATTAGCCAAATCGGTCCAGCCGTTCTCGAGTTTTAGCGAGACTAACGAACAGCAATTCATTTTTATATATATAGATAGATAATCGAGCTGACGTCTCTAGCTGATTCGCCTATACTACATTGATATTGTCGCTTACCATTAGAGTTTAGAATATCAATCGCTCTGATAAAATACTGAAGCATTCGTGCATCATAAGTATGTTGGATACAGAACCCCGCAAATGTATAAAAAAAGAATTACCAAAACTCATTTCAGAAACTCATCCTCGCAAGAGTTAGAACGCATGTCGGATTTAGATCGGTTGAAACTCTTGAAGTTCTTAAGTCACAGCACCACTCCGCTCTGGCTGACGGAAACCACGCAACAACGATATAACGAGCTGGAAAGAGCAGTGGACTGGCTCAGCAGTCTGGGATATTCTGCTCGGAACGGTTTCTCGGTGCATTACAGGGAGTTACTGGAAGAAGAAATGTATGAACCTAGTTTGGTGAGTGGATTGTGTCGAATCCTTACAGCTATTCACGAGCGGGTCTTCAGTAGTCTCACGGACTTCATTGGACTACAAATCGCATCGCAGTCTTCGAGTTGTGTTGGAGTTTCACTGCCAAAATATGAAGAACAACTGCATTCTAGTTGTAGTATCGATATTTGGCATTTTGGCTCTCGTTATTTATAAAAAAATATGTATTTACTCTAAGGAGTTTTAACCCAAAGCGACTACGTAATTCTGCCGACTATTTCTACTACGACTATTTCTGCCGTGAAGCGGTAATGTGTTTTGGTTTGAAGGGTGGGGCAGCCGTTGTAACTATACTGAGATCTTAGAATTTATATCTCAAGGTGGGTGGCGCATTTACGTTGTAGATGTCTATGAGCTCCAGTAACCACTTTACACCAGGTGGGCTGTGAGCTCGTCCACCCATCATAGAGATCTATATATATATATAAATGAATTGCTGTTTTTTAGTCTCGCTAAAACTCGAGAACGGCTGGACCGATTTGGCTAATTTTTGTCTTGAATTATTTGTGGAAGTCCAGAGAAGGTTTAAAAGTTAAATAAATATGAAAATACTAGGGAATTAAATAAAAATAACAATTTTATTTTTCCTTTGATGTGTCCCTCGTCGGACGGATTCCTTTTGTTTGTTTTAAGTTTATTTTATACAATAGTTTAGGTCTTTTATGTATCGATTGTCGCACTACGAACTCTGCCGGGTCAGCTAGTAATTAATAAACCAGTAATTTACATATTATGAATTTCCAGAGCTTTTACATGGCGCTGCTGTTTAAGAACTTAGTTGGCGAGCGAGTGCTCAACTTAGAGATGGAGGCGGGACAGGCCATAATGTTCGCGCACTGCACGTCGCTACGTCACCAGGCGATCCCCGGCGCCGTCACGCTGTACGGAGCCAACATGGATGATGAACCGGCTCGCTTCTCCATCAAACTGTCGAAAAAAGAAGAAGGAGGAGATATTATGCAGTTCATTATTAGTCACGACCACAACGGGTGAGTTTTTAAAGTGAAACTTTTATTACATCGTCTCAAACTTTTTCGTCTGTGTGTTGCATGTCGCGTGACGGTCGGCCGCGGAGTAGGGATAAAGTTAAAGGCGCTCGTTAGAGCAGCCAAGGCCAATATGGCGGCGCCTATAGTTCGCAGCAGCTGACCGTGTAGTGTATAGACTATTACTCATTTGTGCCAGTGCTCTAAGCTATTTTTTGTTTGTTTTTGACAGTGTTTAATGAAAATGTTGTTTGTTAGAGTTAAATATCTATAATGTGAAAAAAAGGGTCACGTTTACCGTGGTTTCATGAAACCACACAATCGTTATTTTTTTTTAATTATTAACAACAATTGACGTACACGGACAAACGAGTGTAAAGCTTTGTTGTCATTGGTCTGGACCACTGGATACTTGAGATAGCGAGGCTGCGGAAAGAGTGGTAGTCTACTGTGGAAATCATATTAACGGGGTGAGTGAGCTCACGGCCCACCTAGTGTCAAGATGTTAGCGGAAACCATGGACATCATCAATGTGAACACTTCCTTCATCCATATACAGATATGAGGTCTAATTCATCATTGGCTAGTACATATTATATTGCAGATGTCACTCCAAACTGGTACGCGGGATATAGGGACCGATAAATACAAATTATGTCTTTGTGCAAATACTTTTAAGCCACTGATTAAACCAGGAGAATACTATATAAGCGAAACATTCTTACAATTAGTGACTATATGTTTTTAAGTTAATTGTATTTGTAAGGCAACCGAAACAAAAGCTTGCTGTCACGTTTGAAAGCTTCTGCGCGCATTCTGTCTGTGTATTTGAGAGACAATTAATCAAAATATCATAGAAAAAAAACAAATATACTATCCAGATATCCTCATTCTTCTTCTTATTTAGTTTTATGAAATAGATTTCTTGTTCGAGCTATCAATCGATATATGTAAATATGTTTACAGGAACATAGCCGTAAACGGACGTGTCATGTTTTTCGAGGGTGACATCAAACCCATCGTGAAACGAGTGCGTCCATACAAATCTCTGTTAATTAATTTACCGGCCAAATCTTTTGGGTTCTGGGTCTTAGCCAACACAAATGTGGAAGCCTGCAAAGATTACGGCGATGATAAGCCTCGCGTAGATTCAACTGAATCTAGCAGTGATGAAATAAGGGTTAGAAGATCTATAATCTCTACTGATGATAATAACGCAAAAGATCTCCGATTCGTTGAAAAGCTTAAAAACGTTTCGGTACAGGAAAGATTTGAGGATGCCAAACACGGCGTTGGTCAAGTACTGAACGTTGTCAAAAGGAACACCAAAAAAAAGGAGAGGGAGATTGAGGAGGATAAACGTAATAACAGAAAGAAAAAAATAAGCAAATTTAAAACAAAATTTGATAGAGTTGGTCGAAGAGATTCAAACTTGAAATCTCTACGAGATATAATTAAATCCAGGCGTTATTTAAGGAAAAGGAAACCAACAAGATATAACAGAAGTAAATCAAATAGACTTTACGGCGCTAAGTATAGACCAAAAGAAAAAAAAGAAGAGACAGCTGTAGAAACTAAAAGAAAACGACGGGATATCAATGAGGTTGATCATAAAATGAATAACATTAATGATTTGTCAATAGAAAATGTAGAAGATTTGAAAAATGTTAAGCTATTGAATATATTACGTAAAATACACGAGCAATTAGAAGACCTCTCTGCCGAAAAAGAATCTACAAAAGAAAAAAATGACGATTCGATTGATTCTGGTAGCGAAATAGTTGGCGCTGGCTTTATAAAAACAACAGTGAACAATCTGATGGGATTGTTATCTGATTTAAATGAGAATTTAAGCAAATTTTGGAATGCCGTTACAATTTTGGAGTAAACGTGTCTTTTAGTCGCCTAGAGTTGAAGTCAATGACTGGTTTGTGATTTTAACAGTCGATGTATATAACGTGAATACGATTATTAAGGCACTGTAATGTTATGGCTCCTAAATCAGATACATTTCGTATTTTAGGAAATACCTACCATTTTATGGGTCTGCGTGTAGATTATAATTCAATTTAATTAAAGTACATATAGTTTTAAGTTTTTGATGAAATATGTATATCAGGAATACTATGTGAAAACAATAGGACTCATTTTGCAATTCTGAGACGTCATTTTCGGTATATATTTATTCCAATGTAGTAGATTGTAGGTCTATTTCTCGGTCCTGCTCCTAAGTGTCGAAATGTGGCTATCTTTAGACCTGAGATGGAAGTCTTCATTGCATTGTAGTATGAACATTAGCTGTTCAATTTATCAGACGAGAACTCAGGAAGACCTTCCAGTAAAAATTCATAGAATGATACAAATCGATCAAAGTTAATATAAACTATCTAATTAATTAAAATAACAGTTTTCATGATTTTTGGTGTTTCGAACCGATTTTACGATACAATTTCACGGCAGCATGAGTATCTTGTTAAATTAGGCAAATATCTAATCTGATTGCTCACTATATTTAAGGATTGTTCTTAAGAAGTATGAAATAAAACAAAAATCTGTGGTACAATTTAGTTTTTATTTATTTAACAACATTTTCAGGGGTACCAACACGTCGCGAAACATCGCTGTGGTACCAACCTTCTAAACTTCAATACGTAACTAATATACTTTCTTTCAAATGAAAAATAACATAAAGCTGTTTAAACATAAATGAATGAATGGCGTACAAGCTAACGCTACCGTAGTGAGGGTGAAAATGAAACTAACATTAGTGAGTCAGAAGTAAACAGCTGATACTCAGCACACGAACTAAATGATTATTTCATACACTGTGATATTTTTTTATTCCAATTATTAGGTAGAATTATTTTTTTATACGTATATTTATTTCAATTATTAGGTAGAATTGTTTTATCAAGGAAATTATTTGCAAAAATTGTCGAAGATTTAATTAATGGAAATCTGTCAGCAATATTTTAACTGTTTTAGATTCTCACATTATAGAGACTGTTACTTTTTGTTTTAAATATAATTAAGAAATCTTTTCAGATTGAAGTATTTGCCACCTAAGCATAATTTTTTCATCGTAATTTTGCTTAGAGGGTAACACCTCTTTTTTGGAGGCCAGTTGGTTTACTTTACCATAGTTTTGCTGATCTCTATACTCTTTACTTCTGAGCTACACAAATCCAAGGTGGCAATTCTGTAAGGCCAAAACAAATACTAACTTATCATTAAGTGTCACAGAAGCTCAATCATCTCCGTAATAATATCCTAAAAACATTATTTTCAACAATAACTTTCCGTTTTTATTCTATTCATGGATTAACTACTTAATTTTCTCATAACAATAAAACACTAATCGTGTTTATGTATTTTTTAAAGTTTCGTCACATTTCGGTAAATGCTGTCACTCTATGTCACTAACATCTACTTTTTCTTGGCCAATAACTATACCATACAAACAACTTGTACTTTTGTCTTAGCTTGACGCCATGTTGCTTAAATTTAATATTATCGACATTGAAATTCTCATCTTCCAAAACTGTATCGTAATTGTGAGATTACACTATTATTTTATTAAACTCTATCATGTCATTAACGATGCTGATACAGATACAGATGCCAACTGTGAACACAATAAATATAATTACTTATTTGGTGTGTTAAACAAATATCTGTAAACTTTACACAAAAGTGAAATTCTGGTTTACTGGGTGGCGGGATACATAGGTTTTCAACGAGAGTCAAGTTATTTTAAACCAAGTTTATGATAAAAGGACGTAAGTTAACGTGGAATAAACGTTTTTTTTTAACTCATGTTGGTTCGTGGTAATAAAAAGAAGTTCTTGTTTTTAAATTGTTAATGAAATATTGAAGTATTCTCTTAAAATAAAAACCATTCTATGGCCGAAGTTGGAACAAAACACATATTTAAAAAAAAAAAAGTTAAAATCGGTTCAGTAGTTTAGGCGTCGATCGCGGACAAACAACGTGACACGTCATTTATATATTATATATTAAGATATTTCAAAGGCCATTTCTTTTTTCTAATATCGGAGTTCATTGACTCACTGTGCACGCAGTGATCCACCCGGTCACATATTGTATTTTTGTTGTGTATGATTATTTAGAAGCAGCTGTAGCTTCAACACGAACTCATCAGAGTTATTGCTATTTTGTCATCCTATCATTGTTGTCAGAGCGTTCACTATTGCTATACTTTAAGTTAGATAATCTGTGGGTCATGTGACGATAATTCACACTGTTAAAACACGATAAGTATATAAACTTTAAGCAACATGGTCTCTTGTCATGCCTCCCGAAAATTAACATAAAAAACGGGAAAGCGTTTTTTTAGAAGATTTTAGTTGGTAAAATCGCTTCCCGTATACAAAAATATAAGTAAAATAATTTAATTTAATGCTTCGTGTAAAGCTCTTGTGTAGTGTCGTTGTCTTTTATTACTATTATAATAAGGCGTGTTTTTTTGTGTGTTTAAATATTGTGTTCAGTTTCTGAAACGCTATATATTTAGATCGTTATTTCTGTAATTTCGTTTTATTTCTTATTCTCTCGTGTTTATCGCTCTGTTATTAGCGGGTTCTGTTGTTTACCATTTATTTAAATTTTAAGTGTTATATTTAATTTGATGCTGCAATTTTAGAATGTGCTTTTTTTGTTAGAATCTTTGCTTGATGTATCGATACGTCAAATACAGATGAAGCGCGTCAATTTACAGAAATAACCAGTTAAATTATAAGCACTTTATGTTAACTCTGCAATAATTTTCATTTAAACAAAATCGGGTTCTGAATATTCTAGATTCTAAATAAATCATTACGTTTCCATTTTATTTTCCAAAACATTTCTCAAAAAATGTATCCAAAATTCCCAATTATCGAAAAACTGTTTTTATACCTAACAACTAATGAAACTATCTTTAAGCTATTTAATAAACTGTCAACAATTTATCGTATTAACATATTAACAAGCGGTAGCGGAAGCGACAGCGGCTAATACAAGCTTCTCACATTTCTGCTCTTACAACCGAAGGCTGTAAGTCTAATATCTGTCGCCTACACTCCGCCCATCAACATAACGACTATCTATCCTAACTCCGTGACTTTTCTAAAGTAGTTCTAACAATTTTTTTGGTTTGATTTATTGAAAAATGCACTTTCAAGGGTCGTGTTGTCAATCTAAAAGTCGAAATGAACTAAAACGCTACATAATGCACGTAATGATAAATACATATTTACCCTGAGTTCGAATGTCATAAGATCAAAGTGCAAAATATATTTCTACATAGTATTGTATGCACGCCGCTGTCCGGTTTAAATAAATACATAAAACACGTTAAGGAGTAGATTTAAAAAAAAAATGTATTTGTGAAGTTGTAGAATATTGAAGTTATACTTCTTTAGGTTATGAAAAATTGATGAGAGTGAAATTTTACGATGCGCGCGCACCGTGACACAAAATTAACAGAAATGAAGTTGCCCACTAAATCGCTCATTACAATACGATCGACGTAACTTGGCCAGTCTGAATATAGCCGCAGGTGAACTTTCGCGCATGTACACTCGTAAAAAAAAGTGATATTAGTATTCATTTTTGAAATTATTAACTTTAAATATTTATTATTAATTATTTAATATTAAAAATAAAAGAAATAAATTTAATAAAAATAAAGTATAACTTCTTACGCGCCTACATAAGTACACGCAACCTTTTTTTTTTGTCAAACCTATTTATCGGTCATATTGTTGATGTTTGATTGTTTCCGTTCACTTCTAAACGCAGACAGAGACGTGCAACGCTAAATCTAAAACCCAAGTATGTTTGTAAGTCAAACATTTGTACACAGTTCTAAATAGTATCACCGTCGACAAAAAATATGTGTTTTTTATCGAGATAAAGAAAAAGCTTTATTGCAATAGAGCTTACGGTTCAATATGTTATGCTATTTTAATTAGCGCGCGATTTGATATCACCCAAATTCCATTTTAACATTGCGCTGTAAAGCAACCCTGTGTTACTAGTTACAACTATATAACAGACATTCAAAGCTAACAACAATAACTTAACGCCAAAACAATGATAAACAGACAACGACACGTTTCCCAAGAGCAATGGCACTTACATGCGTACAAATAAAATAATAAACGGTTATTATCAAATCAGTGACACAATTACGCCTTCTGTTAACTCTCATGACTATACTTTATGAAAATATGTTCTTCTAAAATCCCTAAGTCTACTATGAGTCAACAACGAAGGGGCAGGCTAAACTACTTAGAGATCAAAGATATTAGATAAAAGTTTAGGATAGTTTTATAGAAATAGCTACGAGTAATTGCGACGGGCATATAGTACACCCAAGACAAGCAGATGAAATCCATCCATTTAATAAAGAGGCTGCATCATGGCGCGCTATGGATATTTTCATATTTTGAATTAGGATCATCAATCGAAATCTCCGTTTTAGTAACACAGAGCGGTATCCGAAGCCACCACAAAGATAGTGCTTGTGATACATATTTTAATGGATGAATTTCTTGTTGGCAAAACGCGAAGAGAAATCTAAGGCGTTATGTGAAAATTATGTGGATTCGTTCAATCGAATATTATTGGTCGTGTAATATTTTCGAATCTTATTAACTATTATTGTATTCGAACTACGAACAACCATCAGCTAAAATTGCCATGCACAATACCGTACTTCTATATATTTATATATTGTTAAACCTAGACTAAGTCACACGTTAAGTGGATCACTTAATAATTAATATAGTGTAATAGAAGTAAGTGTACGGACTCAACGACTTCGCTGTCGTCTTAGTGATCGTGTGTGCTGATGCGATGTATCTATGATAGCGTGCAGATTACAGATTACAGAAGTCAATTAAAGTATACGAACTGTCAACTGTCAGATTTACAAACTGCCAAAACATTTATCCTATATCAAAAACATATACCTACTTTTTAATAAGGTGATCGGAAATAAATATTTGTATTTACAGTTATTTAGAATTCTGGAGGTATAACTGTGATTTGTTAAAGCGAGCGATGAAATCAGTAAGATGGGAAATACATGATGTGCTGAACTCGTGTAGACAGAGAAGGTAAGATCGAGAGAAAGAGATAGATAGACAAGCTTAAGAAGAAAACGTCCGCGGGTACACCGCTTTAGACGAAACGTTTTATTTATTTATTTATATTCATATATCACAGCTTTTGACGATAACGAATCTTTTGCAAATGCAGCTTTTTATATCTTGGACACAATTGTCAGAACAATTTAGAGACCTTCTTTAATACTAAGACCAACAATGTTGATGTGGATGTCAGAGATTTGGTGGAGAGGGGACCATTGTGTACCCCACTTTAAGGTATGTTAGCTATACTTTCTTCGAAAACCAGAGGTCGTCTCGTGGTAGAAATAGACATAACCATGGAATAAGTATTTTTACTGTACCGATATTCTGTTTGTGAGTTAATTACAGCGTTGGTGATTTAGGTATAGACATTTAGGTAGGCTATCAACGCTATTTTCCTGTTCTGTCAATGTGTTTGACATCCACCAGACCCAGATGCCGCGATCTATGCATCATTGCTCGCACAATTGTGTTTCAAATTTACACCTAAGCGATAAAACGATTAGATTATAGAAACCAACGGGTCTACTCTACAACGCGTTTAACTATTAAACAACGTGAAATATGTTTATAATCTACGTCATAACATTACACTAAAAACTTTACTTATCATTTAAGAAACACACGCAAGACATTTGGACAACAATCGCGAGTCTGACGTGTCAGATACGCTTTTGCATAACAATTTATGTATTCACCTATTTTATGTTCGATGTGGGTATTAAGGCTAAGGTCTTGTAAAATACATCTACCACTGACACGAATACAGAAGCACGCATGCAAAAGATTATCAAGATATTGAAATTTCAGTACAGAGTAGGGAGAGTTAGAACGAGAGAGAAAGAGAGAGAGAGAGAGCACAAGCGTTCGACGAAGCCCGCGGAATTTGGATGAAACAAATATCATACGAATAACGAGAATAGATTCTGTTTGGCGCCATTTCAGGCCTAGAGTCGAACTACGCGCGAGCCACAGACTTATAATACAAGAATTCTTTTTTTAAATAAATTACACCCATTTTTTATGTATTTATATTCGTTTTTACACTTAAATAACAACAATTTTTTTATCACAAAGCATCAACATATAAAATGGATTTAAACGTCCGCCCATCGCTTGGCCCTGTTTACGTTTGAACCGTATGAACAAATTGTACTCGGCTTACACGTCGTGTATAAAAATATTGCTTATCATCAAGCACCAATGCGCAAACACATTTCGAACGAAAGCTAATTTAAGTTCTGTCTATGTTTCACTGTTCTCGGACAATACTCGCACATAGATAGTCTAGAAGAACCTAGAGCTAACGGCAAAAACTGTGTCGCAAATTCTCATAGTGAGCCCATAAATTGCTGTTCCGTTTTCAGACAGCAAGACACGTATTCTTTATGTCTTTGTAAATCATAGCTACAAGTTTATATTGAGCGACAGAGAGATATTAGATGGTGTTTACTAAGACGCTGTTGATGACGCAAGCACGTTAGTCTTCTAGACGATCAATGTTGAGTGTGTCGTCAAGTCGGGAGGTCTCGGGTTGTGTTAGTACAGCTACATCATGTATTCAGGGTATATAATGATGAGAAGCGTCGTCGGCAGCTCACTGCATCACGCACTTGCTCTCGATTTGGGATTTGAGTTCGTTTACTTGGTTTTCGATGGTGTTTTTCAATTCTGGGAAAAAATAAGCATTTATTTATCTCGTTTTATTTGCGTATCGATGTGTTAAAGGTTTTTTTTATTGGGATTCCCCTTTCATGAAGATATGTTAAGGTTTTTATTTTTTTTATTGCTTAGATGGGTGGACGAGCTCACAGCCCATCTGGTGTTAAGTGGATACTAGATCCCATAGACATCTACGACGTAAATGCGCCACCCACCTTGAAATATAAGTTATAAGGTCTCAAGTATAGTTACAACGGCTGCTCCACCCTTCACACCGAAACGCGTTACTGCTTCACGGCAGAAATAGGCAGGGTGGTAGTACCTACCCGCGCGGACTCACAAGAGGTCCTACCACCAGTAATTACGCAAATTATAATTTTGCGGGTTTGATTTTTATTACACGATGTTATTCCTTCATCGTGGAATTCAGGTTTTAACGCTGTGATTTGAAAATTGTAGAGTATTATGGACATTCTAAATTATTATGTGATGTGATGTGAAAGCCACGCATTATGTAGCTGGAATAGAAGATAATTGAATTCTATTTGAAATACGGTAGAACAAAATTGAATTGGTAACAAGCCGTGCGCTCCTACTCGACACACGCGACCTCCGACCTCAAATTGTATTTAAACAAGAACAAGTGAATGTGGATAACAGAACAACACAGTGATCCTTACTAGTGAACTCATCTTGGTCTTCGAGTTCAGCCTCAGCAGCGAGTTCCTCTGGCGTCTTCTTCTTCCTCATCAGCGGGTTGTCGGGCTCGGCCTGCTGTTGCTCAACCACCTCCTCTTTTTTCGGGATTTTGTACTGAAGACAGAAGATTACAATTTTTTTTTTACAAAGTTTAGGATACGATAACTATATTTAAGAAAACTGTCAAGGAACGTTTGTGCCTCAAGGCATATTATAAAGTTAAAGATTATTTACTAGATGGCACTACGTGGGAATGAGGCGTTCGCTCCTGGCTTTTTCATTTTCATTTTTCATTATTATTTTAACTGTATTTTTTAACTTGTTTTTTCGTTTACTGTAAATATTTTTACTTATTTAAAAAAAAAAAAATTGAGAAAAAAACAAAAATCAAAACCCGCTAAGTTTGTTTCGCCGGTTCTTTTCAGGAATGTGGTTCTTTTTGGAACCGGTGGTAGAGTTAACATTTGTATTAAATTATATTTTTATATTTCAACAAGTGTATTGTGCTGACATCTAAGTTGAAATAAATGATTTTCAATTAGAATTTGAATTTGAATATATTAAAAAAGAAAGAAACTAAATTTAATTAAACAGTATAAATATAATTTTAAATAAAGGCGGCCAAGAGCTATTTGAAAAATACATTTATAAATCCAACATAATACGTTTTCGATTCAATATATAAAATGAAAAAAAAAAGAAGGAATATCATTATTCATTACACTAGTATCAGTTCTCTTCAGTAGTTAGTTCTAAGAATAAAAGTTGTTTAATCAAAGTTCAATAAACAAAAAAATGATGATCTTTTTGTGACTCGTGTCCCAGTCTATGTGCACAAGGACTTAATGATTTGACTGGCTCCCAATGTTCTTGAGCTGTTGCTACCAATAGCTGATCACCCATTGCTTAATTTCCTTTTTTACCCAATTTCGAAATTATTAATTTCTTTGGAAATAAACGTCAATGCTATATTTTTCCACATTTTGCACCTGTAAGATAAACCAAACCATTTTCCTCCACTTATGAGTCTCCCGAGTAGGCAGTAAGCAATAATTGAAATAACTATTAACAATTGTTTTACTTTACTAATACGTATTTTCATGGGAAAATTATATTAAAACTTTTAAAAATATCACGAAACATAAAAAATTGAGCTTAAATTACTTCATTAAGAACTCCAACCAGTCTTTCTATAGTGTGTCGATGAAGAAATAAAATTTGTTAAATTCTAAAATATCTTGAGTAGTTGTAGGGAGTTTTCTGAGTTTTTTATGGGCAGAACACCAGCCAGATGGTCAGATCTAGTAAGAGAAGTACTTGATGGTAGTTTGTACTATGTGGTCCATGCCACCCATGATCGAATACTGTCGAGGAACGTCACATGTAGTCGCGATCCTCAGCAGTGAGGGAACGATATAGAAGAAGGATGGGTATCACCGATCTACCCCGAATCACTAATACTTTCCAGTTTGAAGGGTGGGGCAGCTTTTATAGCAGTAAGAACTGTAGAAGTGAGGCTGAGAACTCATGTCTCAACACCTTGAGACCACTGTTGGTAGCATTAACATTATTGTTAACAATCAATACCTGGAGAGCCGTGAGCTTGTTCAACCATCTAAGAAATAAATATAAACGTGTCAATACTACCCCCTGTGTATTTCTACTACAGACTATTCCGGTTTCAAACGTTGTACCAATACAATAAAGCCATCTTGTGTTGGGTAGCGGTTTATATATCAACATTACGTTGCATTCTTTTTTTACCCGTGTAGGCAGACGAGCACACGATCCACCTGAAGGTGAGTAGTAACTGTGGCTTATGGACATCAGCAATGCCAGGGGCAGAGCCAAGCCACTGCCTACTGTTTAATACTCTCGACAGACCTTCGTTGTGTATTGCTCACCATCATATGGGTTAGTCTGCTCATTTTAGCTGATAAACAAAAATACCACTATGACTGTAGCCATAATACAAAAACGCAAGATATTTGACAGATGCCTGAATATCGCTTACGACACTTTCAAGATAAGCTTGCATATATACAAGTTCTGAATAACAACATCTGGACCGTCGGTCTACCGAGCAATATCACCCGCTCGGTAGAAGATCTTCCTTTCGTCGTAATCCTACACTAAAATATATAAATAAATATAAAATTGGACCGATATGTCTATGAAGAGATTCCATTGTTCGGAAATGTTATTGAAAAAGGTATGTACATCTATCACAAAATAATGAACCAATCACAAAGCCATAGCATCGATAAAGCGGAATAACCACTGAATAAAATAATGTAAACCGTTATCTAGGGATTTCTACTAAAACGCTACAATTTATTTGAGTGTAGCAACACTGAGTAGTCGAACGTCGACAGTTCCGTTGGGAAATTATCGAACGAACGCTGGTAATACTTACATGTATTGTTATTTTTAAACGAAGAGAATTGGATTTATGATTAAATTCTACTTAGTTTAGCTCAAACGTTGGTTTAACCCTCCTGCTGAAACATTGATCTTTTGCCAAATATATTCACAGTTGCTCACATCATATATGTAACATATGTACGTATGTACGTCAATCAAAATTTAAAGTTTTATAAAAAAGTGACATACATTCGATAAATACTAGAAATAGCAGTGAAACTGTTAAGATATTTATCGTCTAAAAAGTAACAACTGGCTCTTTAGCGACAAATGTGACGACAAAGAAAACAACACAACTAACAATACAAGATAGGATGAGAAAGTATCAGTTCTTAATAGCTAATTTCTCCAACAAGTTAACTCCTGTATTTTTTATTACTTTTTTTTGCTCCGGTGTGTGGACGAGCTCACGGCCCACCTGGTGTTAAGTGGTTACCGGAGCCCAACCTAAATGCCGCTACCTACCTTGAGATAAAAGTTCTAAGATCTCAGCATAGTTACAACGGCTGCCCCACCCTTCAAACCGAAACGCATTACTGCTTCACGGCAGAAATAGGCAGTGTGATGATAACTGCGCGTGGGGACTCACAAGAGGTTCTACAACCAGTAAATATCCAGTCCTGTATATTGATTCGTATTGTATTCACAAACATACACAAGTGAACGGGTTTCTTTATTTTTTAACAGACTTCACAAAAGAGGGCAAAGCTTCTGAGTTTATTTTATTATACTCAACTTATTTGAGACCTTGAAATAAATGTTTTTATTTAGATTAAGCTGGAAATTGAAATAGTCGCATGTGTATTTCTTACAATACGATAATGTAATTTTGTTGCTGTCCAAACTAGAAGACAAAGCTTAGATTGCATAGAAACAACGGCTATCTGTGATTTATAAACACACTAGCGGCCCGCTTCGGCTCCGCTCGGGTCTTTAACAAAAATTTCAACGATATTTGACGTTGTTTTATTTTTTTAAATAAAAGATCACTTATTGCGGCATAACTACAATAGTTAAACATAATATGCTGTCACGACACTTTTTGTAAATAATAATGTGTTCTATAAAGTCGTAGTACATTAGATTATTCTATCATCAATAGTTTTCGCAGGGCACGCGATGTAAAGAATATTTTAGGTAATTTTTTTACACCTTGGATTACATTATTGGAGTTTTAGTAAGGATCCCTAATTTTTTTCAAAAAAGATTATAGCCTATGTCACTCGGGAATAGTGTAGCTTCCAAACAGTGAAAGAATTTTTCAAATCGATTCAGTAGTTTCGGAGCCTATTCAATATAAACAAACAAACAAATCTTTCCCCTTTATAATTATAATATTAATATACTTATAGATACAATAGCAGCCGTTGTACTGTCAAAGTGAGATTTAGAACTCATGCCTTAAGGTAAGTGGTGACATTTACGTTGTTGATGGCTGTGGGTTCCGGAAATCACTTAATAGTACCAGGTGGTTCGTGAGATCGTTCCTCGTCTCAGCAATAAAAAAGCAGGGCTCTGGTGGGTGAATTACATCATCTTGCTTACTGTCTAATATACGGCCTTGTAAGTTCTATCTAAGTACTATGATCTACATATAAAGAGACAGTGCCAAAACATTTCAGCACATTTTTTCCTTTTAGTAAACTTTTTTTCTATCTTTTTGTTTGTTTTTTCTACCTACAATTGTGGTACAAAGTGTTTTTTCTACCTACAACAACAAAACAAATGAAAAAATGTATTACATCAAATGAATCGAAGAAGTGCCAGTGAACACTGGCAAATAAAGATTGTGATGTATTAAACATTCCCATATAATCTATGTTAACCTACCTAATGTAATCGTAAGTGTAATCCTATATAAACTAAGTGTGTATCAAATAAATAGGAGTATTATTCGGACTCTCGTTGGTTTGATTACAAATAAATACCTCCGACGCAACACCTTATAGTTATATTCAAGCGCATCACTGTAATTGTACGCCGATAATGACGCACCCGAGTCTACTAGAAAATAATGTACTTTTCCACGACCTAACGATGAATTTAACGAAATGAAACAGTTACTATCACTAGCTAAAATCATATTATTTCTATTGGTCACGAAAAAACTGATTAGATGATGATACTTGGGGTTCCGTTTCAGCAAAATTAGTGTTGAAATTAAACTATGGTTCAGTTAATGACTTAATTATTGACATGAAAAATGTTTTATTGTCAAAGAAATCTGCAACTGCAATACAAAATAAATTACAAACAATTAGACAAAATGAGGCGTCTATTGAAGATTATGGGAGAGAAATCACAAAATTATTTGTGGACCTTACAATTTCTCAAGCCGATGGCAATGAACAGTGTTATAATNTGAATCGGGCGAGCGGTTAATCCAATACCTCTAATATAAGAATTATTTAAAGGTATAATCGGTAATTTAAGTAATTTACAACAATTGACAGTTATTAAATTATTTTGGGAACCATTATCTATTAAAGATTTAACTATTTTACGTTCCCCTTTATTCGAGTGAGCGTATATTTGAGCGGTTGATAATAAAATATTACTATTCGATTTTATTTCCGAACTGTGAGTTAACGTGGTAGCGGTCGTATTATTTTGTTGTTGTATCGTTTTCTTAGAGTGTGAACAAATATTCGAAGCGGCATCATTATTATCGTAACACTGAACAACAGGTT